TTTCTTTGTAAATAAATATTTGTTATATGAAAGCTCTGTGTCTTTGTTCGCTGTGAGTATCCACGACGTCACACTTGTTTTGGAAACGATGTCAGTTTCTGTTCGACACCTTGCGAGAACGCGAAGTAACAGGGTCCCACGCTAAATGCTGTCCGTGTCGCCCAACGCCTCTTAATCGCCGCCAAAGTGGACAAAATGCCTCACTCGCCCCAGGAACGTATTTTGTTTTACTCCAAATTTCCACATACCAAAAAGAACAACTCTTTTTAAACTTCTTTCCAACGTTTCGCTTCGAATTCTCTTTCGCCAGCTTCTAGCACGTACAGTACTCCCTCTTGCTATGTGAACTCCGTCGCAAAAAGAAATGAGAGCGGAGAGGGCGGTTTAAAGCGCGAGGTTCCTTCTCCCCCTCCGCTCGCCAGCGCTATCCCTTCGTACTCTCCTTCGCGCCAAGGTTGAAGAGTACCCGCTCTAAGCCACGTGACATCGCAAATTTGTGAATTGTCGGAAATGGGATGCATAGGTCTACTACGACCATGGTGGAAATAATTATTTACACTATGATTTCTGTATCACGCGCGATGTTGCGATCGCACCCGACCTCTCCAGAATTGTTCACATATGATCCCTCGAGACTGTCCTTGAATCCTGGAAATGTACATTACGTTCTGGTGACACCACCTGGGACGATTTTGGAAAAACCAGTGGAATAATATATTCTTCAACGTGCGCATTATGATGGCCATATGATTATATATACACATATATAAAATTCACGAGTTGATGTTTACGACATGAGCGACGTAGGAACGAGTGACGTAATTTCTACGACTGAATAGAAGCCATTATGCGCGAGTAGAAGACTATACTATCTCTACGACCTTGAAATATTCGGAATAGATTGTGAAGAGATTTTGTTTTATTTGAAACTCAAGTACAAGGATTACCTACATCATCAATGTTGTAATACAAAAATCATAATCAATACATATTCAATAACAAATACATAATCATTAACATACATAGTCAAATACAATAATGAATTTATTTTCTGACAAAATTAATGATGAAATTACTGCAGTTAGAAATATTTATCACCGATTGTGTTGACTCTTCATCAGAATTGGCATCAGTACTAGTATGCGATGATGTTGGTAAGGTATTTTGCAAGATTTTGTTCTGCTTAACAGATTGCAAACTTTTGTTTGCAGTGTTTATTTTGTATGCCGTAGAACTGTCTATAAAGCCTTCAGCTACAGACGTACTCTTCCAGCTCCCATATAGTTTGAGAGTAGTTATATCGCCACCTGCATCAACTAATAAGTTGGCAGAAGATCTAAGGAAACTATGACCAGTGTAAAGATTTGCATTCGGTAACTTTAAGTATGTAGCTATTTGATTTCGCATTGGACCAAATTTATTAATACCAATTTTCTGGACAGTACACTTCCCATATTGATAGTTCAAAGAGAATGAAGATGTTTTTATATTGGACGGACGCAGGTCAGTATATTTCTTATATATTTCATAAAAGTTGCCTGAAACAGTTACTTTTCTCAGTTTTTGTTTTAGTTTTCGGTATTGTTATCAAATAAACTGCTTGAAGATCTTCAATTGATCTTCAATGTCTTCCATTTTCATGAAGTGCACCTCGTTACAACGACAAGCACCCATTTTTACCGTTTATTACCATATTATATTAGTGCCATCTTAAAAATGCAATGTATTAAGTGCAAAATCTAATCATTTCTACATAATATTTTAATTTATTAGCTTTGTAGCAAGTCATACATCGTTCGGAACGTGTCTGATGAATTTATTTATTTATTTTGATGTGAATGTTTTAAATTTTTAAACTCGATAGCCTTCAGAATTTCCTTTAAGAAAAGCACGCAACTTAGAGTAAGCTCCTTATTTTACTTCATTCTGTGTTTGCAATGTGCTTCTTAACGTTGAGTGTATCTTCCATAAACTGGAGGGTTTATACTGTTACGGAAGTTTGGTAAAGTAAGCCAAGAAATCGTTCTCGCTAAAAGAATTCACACTATTACCCTTTCTCCACTCCATAAATGAATATGATTGTTCATAACAATTTCTTGGTTTTTGTTGAATTGTCGAATTCGCTATTTCCTGAATTTCAAGTGGAGTACAAATTTTATTGTCACTATTGTTGACTTAAGGATCCATTTTCTGTTTAATGATCAATGCGAAATGTGACGAGAAATGTGAAGACTACAACGAATAGGTTACGTACATGAAACTGTTTCACAGGTCTACCGTGGTTCAAAAGAAGCGCGAAATGCAAAGAGAATACAATAATTATTCTGCCCATTGATTCCGATAATTCTAGGAATGTTATTGGGTCGACAGGCATTGTATTCCGAACCGGAATCTACAGGTGTGGTTTCGATTTCACTCGTCGATTAAATATACAGCATGAATACGAATATTATTAAATGGTAGTAGAGAAACTCTTTCTACAGAAATCTATGTTTTTGAGGGCAAATCGGTTAAGGAATTGTGGACATGATGTAAAGCCTGTTATACACGATTTTTTTCATTTTTCTCCGTTACAGAAAAGAGACAAAGTAATTTGTGCGAAAAAATGACGCATGCTTAATTTTTCGGTACAGATTTCGTTCAGTTTGACTACCGCGCTCCCGGCGTCGCTTTTCAGAACTTTCTCTGGTTTGTCATACGTTTGGTGCGATTTGTTCATTTGTATGTGTTCCGTGTATGAGTATAGAGATTGCCTGTAATGTGTTTATAGTTTTCAATAATTGCAGTGAAAAAAACATTTTGCTTTCAATTACTAATACATACGCCAAAAATGGCGAAGGCAATTCATAAGTTAATTCTTTTATCTGGACTTTTATCCTTGTTTCATGCTGCATATTCCGCAGCTCAGCGTATGTATAGCGTGTGTATATACTCCTACATGACTTGTTAATACAGATTTACTCATGTGTTTTTATTTTTCATAGATCGATCTTACCTTCGAATTACAGAACAAGAATTTGTTTCTTTACCCATTGATGTAAGTGATCTCGTCCTTGTTATGCATAATGTTTTATTTCACTTATAAATTGGAAAAGTTAATATATTTTTCACTTCCAGATTCTAACACAAGGTATTGTAAGCCTGTTCATAACATTATATGGAGTTATGAATATTGCTGGTGATTTCAAGGAAATACGTGCAACTGTGGATTTGGAAAATAAGTCGTGGGAAACCCTGAGAAACATTCCGTCATTTTATGTTTTTAATCACAGAGGAAAAGCCTTGTCTCCAAATTACATTCCTCCCTCTGATGAAATGGATTGATGATGAAATTGTTATTTAGTTACTTGTTTGGAGTTGTTATAATTTGCAGATGATTTGTTTTGACCCTTGATTTTTGTTCAGTATTTTATAGAATATCTATGTTGACATGTTTATTTATGAAACTTTCATGTTGTGTAAATCTGTAAAGTTTGTGAAGGTTTGTGCTGTATATGCAGTTTTTATTGTTGCCAATTAGGGCAGTGAGTTATATTATAAAAGAAACAGTTCTCTTAAACTGGTGGACAATTTGCCTAATGAATTTGTAGTTCTGTAAATGAGATCAAAATAGGCTGTGAATAGAAAAGTGTTAATCAGCTTTACAAATTGTAGTATATTAAGCAGGAATGAATGTGTAAATACAATTCAATTGAAATAAAAATTTGTGTTTGTGAAGCAACAATTTGTCATTTTTTGAAATGTGAGTAGTTTTATTAATTCACTTTTTGAGAATTCATAAAAAAATACCAGAATGAATAAGTTTTTAGTAACTTAAATATTTAAGTGTTACATTATAGAGGATTTGGGATTTTGAGGTCTAATAATACTGAATTGGAACATATTTAATTACCTTTTTTTTCTTGTAAAAAAAGAAAAACCTTAAAATTTAATGAATAAATTGTTCTCCATCATTCATGAAGAAGAAAAAAACAGTACATTTAAATATGCACAACTGTTATTGTTTCAATGTTTTGATGATCTGCACAGTTATATTTTTCATTAATATTTCTTATACTAAATTGTGTAGAACATAGAACATTTTATGTTATATTGTAAAACAGAAAACTCAGTAAATGAAAATGCTGACTGAAAATGTACATTCACAATTGCTTAGGTAGTACAGAGCTGTTAATTTTCGAGGTCAAAAAGAATTGAGTTATCCGAGTTCACATTCAACACATAGATAATGCTTTATAAGTCCAGATGAGAAAACTAGATTTACATTCATTTTCTTAAAGAGGCCAGTCACATTTGATCTTACCAAAACACTTTCTTTTATCTTTAGAAAGAAATGCAAATTAGTTTAACATCCTCCACTACATTAGTTTTATGGGGAAATGGCAATATAGTATTAAAATAAAATAATTAACAATATTTTGTTTATTGATCATTAGAGATGTCTTAGGTTTTATCTAAAGCACATTGACAGGTAATTTTTGTCTCGGTTTATTACATTTAGAAGTCACAAAACAATTGCCAAATAGACTTTTTATTAACAAATTTAAAACTAACAATCCTTTTATAACAAAATGTTCTTTCACACATTTTACAATAGAATTCACTAAACTTCGATCAAGATTTTGCCAATAACAATTGCAATGCTGTACAAAGTTCACCAGTATCGAGAGCTAACAAAGCTTCTCAAAAGAATTCTCCATTTTGTGTCACAATTCTGATCTTAAATCTGTTAAACACTACCCAACATTCATGGATCATCCGCTATTAGTAATACTGTTCATGAAGCTACAGCATTTATCTGTACGACTTCTAATAAGTGTGTTCTAAACACTATATTTCTGAGAAACATATGCTTGAAGCAGTCACATTCTTGACTAGAATCTAATTTTCTTTTAATGATACACAAAGAAAAACCTTACTACAGTATCATTAATTATAGTAACCATTTCAGTAGTTCTCAAAATGATAAGATATTAACATTTGCTGAGCAGTCACAACACATTTTAGAGCATGAAATAATCAGGTATACTAAATAGATTTTGCAGCTTCAATAATTAAAGATTCTTTTCTTTATTTTTTTTTTAGAATATCTTAGCTGGCTAAGAGCAATGGTGGACTAACTGAAGTCTGTTACAAGAGCGAAGTGGTCTAAATGCTATGAATCATTAGTGAGACCACTCTTGCCCTCACAATTTCAAATAGTGTCAGCTCAAAATTGAAGGTACAAAATCAAAAATACAATGTTTTTAAATATAAAATAAATGTTCTGAGAAAGTAGCACTATTTATGTTAAGAATATTAATGTGCAATTCTTATTAGATTTTCCGTTATAAACCCTTGAGAGATCTTTATACCGTAAATTTCACCTCTTATGTTAACACTGCTTAAGCAATGAATGAAGTTTTATCTCAAAAAATATACGCTACACAGAAATTGTAATTTAGCATGAAAGAGCAAGTGATCACAATTAGCATTCACTGTAGGTGCAGTAAATGATAAAGGACATCATTTTGTATACACATTTTGAATATTCATCAATTACATCAATGTAACACTAAAATCATCCTCAAAACGCTAAGGTATAATTACTATTTCGATTTTTTTTTTCTTTTTACTTTTTTAATATTTCCAGAACACATCAGATCTAATAAAAATCATTCCAACCTACAATGTTAACTTTGACTGAGAACTGCTTATTCATAAATCCAGTCTTAAATCCACCCATACAAATATCTGCCCACTTACATTTACACTTATGATTCATGCAATAGAATTGACATTTGGATATCACATAATGTTGGGGTGTTTCCAAACCAATCATAGTATTTAAGACAATCAATGCTCATGACTGCCTAAACTTTATAATTGGCAACTATGGTAAACGACATTCAAACATCAATTCTTAATGATCTCGTTCATCAGACTGCCAGGAACAATTCTTTTTCTTTTCAACAAGGGATGTCATTTACGGATAACCTAACAATATTTTTCAAAAACACAAAAATATTGGTTTGGGTTGGTCACTATAAAGGCAGCCCTCTTACAGCAACTATTCTGAATACAGTACATTTTTGAGTTTGCCATTGCCATACAATAAGAACAACATCAACGCCAGTATATTTTCATAAAATAACACACTGAATGTGTGCTAGGTATGCTTTCTGTCAAAATTCACCCTGTAATATCTTTCTGTAAGTACTGACATTTGGGACAAAGCACCACGTCTCCAATTATAAAATAAAAGTACCAAAATATTTGCAGATTGTAACTTACAATTAAATAATGAACATACAAATGAAATTAAATACTGTGAAAGAAATAGTATTACATTCCTGAGAAGTAACAATACCAAAAAGGAACTCAAGGAAACCAATAAATATGTTTATAACAGTAACAGTAATTTTCACAGAAATTACAAAATAAAATTGTTCAAGAACTACTTAAAAATAATTTACTAATTACAAATCTAATGATTCTTTGGAGATTAAACTACTTCTAAACAGAAATCTTCACATAGCACAAATTTAATTTATACATCCTCAACCTCACTGATAATTACATTAATGTATCAAATACATATGAGATATCATTTAGCAGCACCTATTGAAACTGAAATAAATGTGGAATACTTTCCATAAAATAAGAATCAGGAATTCAGATCTCCAATGGCTTAAATGCACAGAAAAAATTGAACATCTAAATGAAGTACTTGAGAGTATCAGTACAGCTGTTTTAGCTGCTCATATGTGATGAAGAAAATGATATTCCATGGTCCCATTCTTACCCATGTAGGAACAAATCCTTTATACAATGCAAAGAAGCCTTCATTTCTCACCGTCTGAAAAATTAAAAAAAAAAAAGAAATTACTAATTATGCCTTCTGTTTTAACTACACACATTTTACAATCTTGAAGAAATAATTAGCAAAGAATTTTCTCTTCTACGATTGTATCACTATGTCATGTAAAAGACTTTCTAAATAATTGATAATTTTGGATTTAAATCCTCAATTAACCAACTCGAGTTTAGCCAACAGTTTGCAGTATTGTTTTCTCTATATTCTTTTTGAAGTATTCTCAATCACTTTTCAAACACTAACAAACTTGGCATCAAAAGCCATGAGACGTTTTTAGGGCTCATCATTGGTCTGAGATTAGTTTTTGTTATTTCACAAAATTCAATAATTAACTGAACATTATGTCAGCAATTTTTTAAATCAATAAAATGGAATTAGCAAGCCAGGCCACACCGTTTTAGTTACATGATGAACTATTATAATAATAATAATAA